CCCTCTGCTGCTGATTCATCCCAACAGCAACCGTATGGAGAGTAACGACAATCAGGCATGGGCTGAGCTTGGGCGCGCGATTCTAAAGAAGGTCAATCGAAACGTGTTTCAGGTTAATTACATCCACCACGTCTACACCATGCAATCGGTTTCTATATGCTACTCGTCAATTATTTTGCGACGGGTGAGAATACTTTTGAAAACTTAAAAGAAACTAAATAAAACGGAAAACAGGCACTGAAAAATCAGGAAGTTAAAGGGGGTAGCTAATGATGGAGACAATGAGAACGGAGTGTAAACGACGGTCTTGAGAGATGTACAAATTGTAGAGAAGTTACTTGAAAGATTTAACACAGCGGGCAATTGGAAAGGATAAGCTAACTACGCTATAGTTGTGAGCCTAACTTTGGTCAAGCCAAAACTCAGTTTTTCCGGCTGTCTTTCGTAAGATATAATAAAGCTAATCGATTCACAGTCGTGAATTACTCTGCATCGTTTTTATAATGAACGCCTTGCTTACAAAGGGAAACGCCCTTCCTTAAAGAAATTCCTTAATAATTTTTGCATTCGAAGACCAACTACGCACAAGCAGAGCATATCACGATCGTTAGAATTATCGAAAGGAATTGATGGGGTCCTCCCCGTTCACTGAACGGTAACCTTCTGTTCCACTTGAAGTTTGAAGTTTGAAGTTTGAAGTTTGAAATTTGAAGTTTATTAATTCCTCATGATGATAAATACATGGCAGTTCGAAAACTGAATTGTGTATTTACGTTACAAAAACTGAATTATAGGTCAAAATCATTAATCCACTTACGGCAAACACCACAGCTCTTTGGACAAAAAGTTTTTCCCCTCGTGTCGCACGCTATCTCCGGGGAAAGTATAGATGATCGTCTTTGGCAGTACTCTGGAAAACGGTCTGCGCACTCTGTTGAAAAAAAAAATTCAATTTTGGAATTACATGTCGTGCCTGATAACGTTGGTGCAAAATATATTTGGCCTTCTTCGACATGCTTCTCGAACTTGACTCGAGGTGACTAAATTAGGCTTGTGACAAAGCAAAGTTTTGTAACAGGCATGTAACGCTAAGAACGTTCCTGAGGGACTATGGCCGTGGCCTATAACTTTTTTTTTTTCTTTTACATTAGACGAAACTGCATCTTGGGCGTAGATATCCTTAATGCAAGGAAATTAAGTGCAGCGCAAAAGGAAAAGCCATGGGAGCTGGAAACACGTAGAGCAGCAACAAAACTTCATAAATAAAACTGTGACAATCATTTCAAGAACATGAAGATCTAAGCTTTGAATCTTTAAACAAAAATAATTAGTGCAGCTCAGTTTTGTTCCCTTTTCCGTCTCCGAAAACAACTTGGGGATGAACGGCGGGCCTGACGACGAGCGCGTGTAGAAGTTTTTTCCACATCCTCCTCAAACTTATTAATCTCTTTTTACTCACCGGGACAGCCTTCTTCATAGTATCCTTTGGCTTCCGTTTTCTTGTCCCAGCAACATCCGTACTTACTGACTCGCGTGGCACACTTTGGTTTTACCACTGAAACAAAGAGTGACTTTTTATTTAAGCCCTTGAGACGAGTTTCATGTTAAGTATCCTGGTAAAATCAGTTCTAACGCTGGATTTAAGAGGTTCTAAAGGTACAGATGAAGTTTCGTGACGCTTTGCCGTCATCAACTGAAATGTTGATTTTGAGACGTATTTGATACTCGGAGACGCACAGAGAGGCTTGACATTCCCGTGATGGGAGCCAAGATTTTCTTAATCGTGCGTATCACGTTAACTTGATCAACGATTAATTTATGTTCCTATGAGTACAACACTCATTACTTACCACACGAATTGCACGTTAGAGCGCAATTTTTCCGTACAGATTCCCACTTACAACCGTCAATGTAGTATCTGCGATAATTTCGTATTAAGTTTTTGCACGCACTTGCCGGTCTGAGGCGGTCTTTGCAAACTAGAAACAAATGAACATCAAAAAACTTTACACTCGCGGATACAAGTAGAGTTATCTTAATAGCCTTGTCAACACCTGCGTATTGGGCCGTGTCGCTGATAAAGATCATGTAATTTCAACATGTTTGAAAAAAAGTTCCACCATACAATCCGTCTCTTAGTATCCAAAATAATGTAAGCTCTTAACATTTTTCTTGGTAGAAAATAGTCTAGAGGACTAAAAAAAAAAGAAACCACCAAATCAAAACAGTTCTCACCATCAGATGCCGTGCAATAAAGGAGGAAAGAAAATGAAATTATCACCAATATCATTGTTTGTTTCCTCAGCTGATCTGATGAACCCAGGTCTTTTCTTCGCTGTTTCTCTCTGTCTTTTTAGTTGTGCAAGCTTTTTTGTCTCGTTGTATTTATTGGTCTTTATTGGCTCGAATGAACAGGCGTGGACGAAACTTGAAACCTCTGACGGAGAGAAATCAAATTCCTGTTTACTTGTGGTCACCTTGTGTCGCAGGATTGGCTATTTCGAGTGGTCAACACCCTTAAATACTTCCCGTCCGCGGTGAAATCCTCTTTTAGAGTTAATTTTAGTTTGCGTAGGTTCAAACCGAGTGCGTAAGCGCTGACCTTTCAATGTTTCCTTTTCACAAGCCACTTGTAAACAAGAGGTTTCTTTTTCAATCGGGAAGAATAAGACCAAAAAGGTACGCTATTTTAGATCATTCCAAACGGATTATAGGACTCTGCTACCGGCCTAAAAAGAAACTTGACTAAAAATTGTGGCATGGGACTGAAATAAACTTTACATTCTAACAGGGTGTCTAAGCATCTGTAAAAGATATTGGCCGTGTTCGTTAAGGAATCCAAAACCACTGTGAGATCAGTAAAGTTAGTTATAATCAAACGACAATTGTTACGTGCAAATCTCAAGTTTCGCCAAATTGTCTTAGCCATTATTAGCAGTGCTCTATCAATTATAATTGAAGCCAGAAATTGAAATAATCTCGGACAAAAAAGAGACGTATATAAACAATTCCAAAATGGCAAGGGTTCAAGTAGTCCATTCCTGTTTGGGTTAGCCGAATGAGTCCATCAAAAGTTCTCTATTTTCAGTTTAACGAATAACAAGGAAGGAGGGAGGTCCTGTCCTGATTCCCAGTTCTCTTGTAAATCCTGTCTTCCCCTCGGCAGCCTTCGAAAAATTTTTTTTAGAGGATATTGGTTTAAGTTGTTCAATTAATGGTTTACTTGTTTCAAGTTAGCTTGTTTTTTTGTGGTTAAGCGGGAAGTATCAGCCTTTGTAACTGATAATACGCGTGTGCGGCGTCTATCCAATACCCGCTATTTCCGTTTTAATCGCCTTCTTTAAAAGAATTCTATGAATAATTTACTGTCGTGCGCTAAAAGAATTTATGATAACCCTTTACGCAAACTTGCCATTTACCGCAAATTAAGGCCTGCCCAGCCCTTGAATTAAGCTGTCCTGTAAACATGGCATTGCACGTAAACAACAGAAGATATCACCATGCGATGCTGAATGCTAACTAAACACGACTTCTTTGCTTTAAGACTACCAACATATCCTATGCTTTATGTCAGTTTACATGATGATTTCTGAAAGAAACTCAGAAATGAACTTGAGGACAAACTCTATAAACTTAGAAGAGGAACGTGACTGGCCAAACCGACATCCAAATGGTGATACCCATAATAACGAACGTGCGTGAATTTCTGTAGGTTATCGTGACACCGAAATAAGCTACTTGGGACACGCACGAATTAACGACGCATCGGAGGCAACACTACATGATAGAAGTTATTTTTAATCTTGGACTTTAGCGATATTGCGAAGCCTTTGAACAAATGTAACCATGGTCAAACTACTCTTTTACGGACACCGTCCTCTCTATCATGGACACTTTGGACAATTTTTTTTTTTATATTTTCGATTTCTGCGACACGTTTTGCAGACTCGTGTGAAGCGAACGTATCAAGGGTGTCTTCGATGCGGTCCATTCATTTTACGGCTTCCCTCAACCAACACCTTAAATGAATCCTGATAAAACTGATCATCATGTTAAACGCTTGCTATTGTTAAAAAAGATTAAAGAGTGTTTGTGTTGGCACCGGCGGTTGTAATCAAGAGCCGCAGGAAACTTGGTCAATATTCGCTGCTGCCCTGAGGCTGTAGATATTTTAGCAGCACGAAAAAGGAATTCATTCATCGAAATGTAACACTCTGTTGTAAAAGTTAACTCATTCGCTGTGACTTTCAAGGGTTAGTAGACGGTACCAATGACTTGCAACGAAGGACTATAAAAATTGCAAAAGTCTCATTGCTATTTTGATTCAGCGATTGAAAAGAAAACAAACAATATTAACACCTTTGTTCAAAAGGAATCTTTTTTGAAGAAACAAAAAGCACAGCAAGGAAATTAAAAGAAGGCACAGCGTCCCTTTTATTTCTGTATTTAAAGATCGCCTAGGTACATACCATGAAGTCTTTGTTAAAAAAAAAAATACTACCCTGTTTCTGTCTAGACAACATGACAAAAATATAAAGCTATTTATATCATAACCTTTTAGGAACAAATTAACTGTCACGCCTTGGTTCTGTCATCGGTGACATAAATCCCCACGTAACCTTACTGCGCGTCTGCGCAACTTGAATACGAAGCTGCCGGAATGAGTCAACTCTTATTAGCCTTCTCAATGGCTTTCTCCGCTGCGCGTATCACGTGATTTTCAGCAAAAGCACTATAGGGCATCGCGTGAATACTTACTTATCATCAGCAGCCGTGGTTCGTGCGCTACGCCGAACCCATATTGGTCGCTGAGGGACCCGTCCATAGGACGAAGCTGCAAAAAGTTGTTAAATGTGGTTAATATTAATTCTGTCTTTGTTGCTTAGGGACTGGTCATTATTTATCAGGAGGGCGCTGGTGCAATGTAAAATATGCCATGCTTGATTTTTTCTGAACCCCCCTCCTTTTACTTTAACATGATTTTTGCTGACCCCCCCTCCCATCCCCCATTGACTTCGGGCATGTTTGAAACAAAAAGTATATATTTATCAAGTCACCATGTCCAACTGATAGACATTCTATTTAAGGCTACCTTAAATTTGGATTTGAGTTGCTCTTCGCCCAGACTGTGTGTAGACAATTGTCGTATTGACATAAAAGTTCTCGGTGTTCTCAATCATTTCTTCTTCTTCAATCGACTCCTCTTCCTCTTCAGAGTTTGAAATACCAATCTCTGCAAGGACACAGTCTTCTTCCTCTGAGTCGTCTTCTAACTCACTACTGAGTGAATCAGAAGACGACTGATTGTCGCTCTTCCCATTCTCCTCTCTCTCAATGCGTTTGGCAAGTTCTTGGATGATACTTTCTTTAATTGCTTCCAGCTTTGCCTTTTTTGTTCCATATTTTCCAAGGTTATGGTGGTTGTGTATAAAGCTATTTTAATAGGCAGTATTTGTTGAGGGCATCCAGATGCAGCTTTTAACATTTTTCCTGGCAAAACGTTTGCATATTTTTGAACGGGCCCCCCCTTTAAGTCGTGCATAAAAAATGGTGGCCCCCCCTATTTGCACCAGCCCTCCTCCCGATAAATAATGACCAGTCCCTAATACTCCGCAAAAGTAATAAACAGCACCGTGCCAAAACTTCAATTGGCGATAAAACTGTTCCCATATTGATCTTTCCCTGACTTCAATTTTATTTCTTTTGCCGTTTGTTCAGAGATCTTCCCCGTAAACCCATGTTGCCAAAAGGTTTCTTGAGCTTAACTTGCCTGTCATAAAAACTAGTATAAAATCGATCCTAATTAGCGTATACTGAGGTGTCTATGCTTATTGAGCTGAACCAGTGGAAAGGATACATGAAGTGGATAACATAAAACTAAAATAAGCTTCTCTTTAAACTTCATTTTTAAGAATTTTATGATATGGTCATTCAGGCAATCAGCGATCGATCTTTTCAACCCGTAGTTTGGTTAACCTAATCTCTCCGTCCCCCACTCTCCCCCCCCAAAAAAAACCCACAGTGTTGTATCGTGATTCCATGAATTTTAGCCAACACTGAATGAGGAAGGGGGTCTGTTAGTGATTTAGCGTGTTGTAGAACCATGACTGTTATTCTTCACATAAACGGAGCTCTTGAAACATGATGATCACTAATTTTGACGCTGATTGTTACTTAGCTGTATGGTTTGCTTCGTACGGACCTATATTTGTCGCGGAGTGACTCTTCCGGCGGATGCAACACTTTCAAATGGGTCAACATTTCAGTCTGACCGCGCTTGCTGCAGCTTTCTCCGTCGCGCAAATCAAATAAAATTCTACGAAAACGATGAGTCTGTAGTCTTATGTGTTGGGGAAAGATGCACGAGACTGAAGTGAACAAAATAGACCGAAAATAAACCCCATCAGTTGGTATTTGAGAAAAAAAAACATCAAACAAACTATTTTGAACGACAAAACGAAAACTTGTTATTGTTTTGAGGCTCGAACCGTAGGTGTTTCTCGTTCACCCATAGCTGGTCAAAAACAAACTAGTCTTTATTTCAACATATCAAATGAGCAAATGTTTTGTTTAGTCTCCTGTGAACGTGCGGCGTTAGTTAACAAGCTTCTTTCAGCAGACGGAGCCATATCCATAGACGGTCAGAACTTCCAGACTTAAGAAACAGCTGTCCGAAATCGAAAGGGGCATTCTGAAAGCAAATGGTATCAGCAGAAACTCCGCGAAAACGGACCCAACCATTAAAAAATAAGCTGTTCGACGTTACCGCTTGAAACTGAAGTTGGGAACCTTCGAAAAAGCTCAGAAATCTTAGCATTTGCGCTTTCAAATTTTTTTTGACCTTGATGTTGTCGTTGACTACAGCCGTTAACAATATTGATCAAGGCAATTTAGACTTAATTTAGAGATTCTGAGTCGAAAAATGATGATATGAAAGGAGGTAAGATTCCCTGAAAAGTATGATGTATTGATCATCTTTAACCCCTTTCAGTTTATGAGGAAATTCGTAACCAAACATAATACTAGCTAGGTAATTTGTTTATATCAACTAGTTGAAATTGTAACTGATCGGCCACCGTAAAGAGTTAAAAAACTGACGTTTCGAGCGGTTAGCCCTTCGTTAGAGCGAACTTCGTCATTTCGTTCTGACGAAGGGCTCACGCTCGCGGCGAAACGTCAGCTTTTCAACTCTTTACGGAGGCCAATTTGCAATTTCAATTTAGTCGATATAGCCAAATTACTTTGTTATCCCCACCGACGCAGCACCACATTTTCTTAAGAAAGTTACCCGCTTCAAACGTGATACTAGTTCTTTGCACAGTCATAAGACATTCTCGGCTTTTGATCTTATAAAAAAGGGTTGTATAGCTTACAGTGTCAGACTTCTATTTACAACAGGTACAATTAAAAGTTCCAAATATTTGCATGGTTTCATAACCACGACAATTGAGCTGGGAAGGTGGAATGTTTGATATCTGCGGCCTTGAGTTTCGTAACAAATAGCTAATTTGATTAAAAAAAAAAAAAAAGAAAAAAGAAAAATCGAGAACAGGAACAACTAAAGGGATAATGATCACCATGCACCAACATGTTAATGGTTTTTGCCTTATCCTCACGCCTCACGAACCGACCACAAAGGGAATAAATTTATCAAGAAATTTACACTATTTTCCCACTAATGTTTGAAAAACTAAAAGTTTTTCCTCTCTACACATTGTAATCTGATAGAAATAGGCTTTTGTGGCTAAAATGCCTCTCAGGATAAACCTCCAATGCGGAAATATCCATAATTAGCCATCAAATTTCCTGCTACTCGTTCCGCGGAAACAAATCTCTTGTTGTTTGTTTTGGTTAATTTTACTGTTATTATCTCTGTTTTTGTTTTCTTTCCTTATCGACTCCTAATCTAACTAAAAAATTTTGTTTATCCGGGTACTTCAATCCAAGCCAGTGGTTCTTCATGTAAAGCTGCCCAGTCATACTTATATACACTTATGACACCTGTGTTCAGTAAAAACTGTTTTCGCATGAAAACTCACTACTGCCTCAATAACGATGTTTCTTCCCCTGCTTTTCTTTCCTTTTTTTTTCTATTTCTCTATCTGCCTACCTGCTTCTGCTAGATTCTCTGAAGAATTAAAAGATCATGGCTACGCCAAATATGAAAGATTCATTTTGATCGGAATTGACTAGATAACTGATTTATCAGTTAATTTTGGTTCGTACCAATTGCATTGCACTAAGCTAAAATTTTTCCCGAAGGCGTGTTCCGTGGTTGCGAAAGTGGCGTGGTCGGCATCTGTCGGGAATACCTAGAGTACCGGTGATTACCAGTTTTTCCGCGTGAGTTATTTCATCCAGAACAATCTTCGCTGAAATGAATTTGAAACAACAATTGTTGTAATACCAATTCTAGACATATTAGTCCGGTCAGCGCTGTTTTAGTCGGCACATGCTCTGGTATTTTCTAGGATTGGCACTTGTATGTCAAGAATGATTACTTTCTTTTTACAGAAGCAAGTGCACAATTGGAAAGCCTTAAATTCATACACATTTGATACGAAATTACTGAGGCTGAAAGCCTTCTGCGTAAGTCACTCCACAAGCGGGAAAAGAGACAACAAAATTGCTGTTTTATAGATAAGGACCCTGAATTTCGGCGTAAAATTCTGTCGAAGTGTGTTATGTGATAAAAAGAAAACCATGTTTTTTTTCAGTTAACACCTTTCCTTCAAACATAATTAAGCTTTGATTGCAACAGTGGTCTTTTCTATATTAAAAGGGAACAATTGAAAAAGTACGGAACATGATTTTAATTATTGCGTAATTATGCCGAATCCATGCGCCTTGTAGCTCAAAATACAAGTGAGTGGGCGAGAATTGTTAATGACCGGAAATATTTTATTCCATTATGGCACAGCTAGAATTATCGGAGAGAGTTAAATGCGTAGGCATTTCAGCTCACTCAGACAGAATACATACTTTCATAACTTAAAATTTAGATGTATCTAGAATTAGGCGGACATCTAAATCTTTTCATTTCCTTTTTTGGTAGATGTCTATTGATCACTTTTCAATCTTTTTCCGGTATTGTTCTAATTTATGAAATGATTATCTCTATGAATTATTATTGTGGCATGTGGAAGACTATTTCGACGATCATTACTCTCTGTTAAAAAATAATGTATGACTATTGTAACCGCTCGTTTTACTCTGTTGGAAGACGGTATCCAAATACCGGAGCCATTACTGAACATTACATACATGGTTTAGGTTAAAAACTTTACATATTAACCTCAAAAAGCAAAAGGATATCTTCGGCTTTCGTGTTATGTGATTTCAGAAATCGTAAGGCGATTAAAGTGAATAATCGTTATTCTGTGAGGACTTCTAAGACGAAATTTTCATTCTCATCATAGATTGCCGAGAAACACCCCTTGCGAGTCAGTTACGCATGGAATGAGATTGTCTTTTGCTATATATAGCTGACCTATTTCTGACCAGAACTAATCAAATTACGATAGCGGTGAAACCGCAGAACTGAACTATTTCGGGTGGGAAACAAATCATTCTGTTTCTTCTATTGCGAAATTCGGAAGCAATTTATTTGAGTTTTGAAGTAGTTAAACAATGTGGTCAAACCCATTTGTGCCATAATAACGGAAGAGGGAAAAATGTGTCGGGCTCAAGAATTGCATAGCTAAACCGCTTTCAAAGGGGATCAAAAACAATCTTGTGTGACCTTTCCAATAAATTTGATCTTCATAATGAATTCTTTGTTCCATTCAGTCTTTTAAAAGAAATTATTTTCCACTATTAAGTCTGTATTTTTCCTTGAAAGGGTAAACGAAACTAATGACCGATTGTTCGCCCACATTTCCAACCACGCATTCACAGCAGGAGTCTTTCTTCGGCTGAGTAACGCAGTCACCGCACCCACACAATTTGCGACACGCAGAATTCAAAATATTTCCCCGCAGGATGAAGTTTCGACTTCTTTGTCTATAAAAAGAGAGTCAAAAGACTTTGAAAGTCATTATGAAGAAGATCGAACAACTCATTCGAGAAGAAGTATCAAGCGCCTTTCTGCATTTTACACGATGATAAAACAGACTACAGTAAGCATTTTACTTTTCATCCTCGCATTTGCCATGTACACAACGGCAAAAAGTAAGTTTTTTCTTTGTATATCTTATAACTTATTTATCGATTGTTTATTCACTCTACCAACAAGTTTCTAAACTTCATTGACGAAACAATTGTTTATCATGAATTCATAAAGGCTGATAGTTTCTAAAGAAACTGTTTGGGGCTGCGTCGGTGGGGGTAACGAAATAATTTGAACAAAGTTGAAATGGTAAATTGGCCACCGTTACGATTATAAAGGGTGACGTTTCGAGCGTTGGCCCTTCGTCGGAGCGAATAGGGGAATTGTGGGTTGTGTGTGCTTTTAAAGGCAGAAAATAACTCCTTTTTCTGCCTTTAAAAGCACACACAACCCAGAATTCCCCTATTCGCTCCGACGAAGGGCTAACGCTCGAAACGTCAGCTTTTATAATCGTAACGGTGGCCAATTTATCATGAATTCAGTTTGTTTTGAGTATTTCCTAATATTGCCCATTAGTTTTCGCTTTTTCAGTGCTGGCGAACACTTCAGTTCGTATGAAGTCTAAAACTTCTATCGGCTTTTCAGTCATCATCGATCATATTTATCAAAATCATGTCTTAACGACCTTTCAATTTCACTCCTATGTTGTTCAAGGGCTAAGTATTTGATGGTGTTAATGAATATTGATTTCTTTATCCCACAGAGTGCGAGGACCGTATTGCTGCAAAAACTTGCCAGTACTTTATCAAAATTTATGGCAGAAAAAACATTGATGTCTGCAAGTGGAAACACATGAGGTCTAACTGCGCTTTGACTTGCAAACTTTGCGGTAAGTAACTAAAAGTTGCAAAGAAAAAGTTTTTTTTTACGTAGGGCTGACCGATTGCGTGTTGATAACAAAGATAAAAAGATTGGTTGCTTTTATTAGACGAACCTAGAACTAAACCCCTACCTCCTTGAAAATGGACAGGTCTCACAGATAGAGGCAATTTCGACAGTGAAACAAAGGTTACATAGCTGAAACGTTATGAAACATTAATATCGCCCGAATCACCTATTCTTCTTTTCAGTTCGAATTAATCATTAACAAAATTAATGCGAAGGTGTAGTCTGATCGTCCGGGTGAGTGTAGTCCTGAGAAGGACTGTTGTCGGTGGTAGTGACTGACGTTTCGACAACCTGTGCGGAAGTCATCATCAGAGTCAAGTGAATGATCACTTGAATCTGATGATCACTTCCGCACAGGTTGTCGAAACTTCAGTCACTACCACCGACAACAGTCCTTCTCAGGACTACACTCACCCGGACGATCAGATTACACCTTCACATGTTACCCCCGGGTTCAAACAATTTACTACAACAAAATTAATGTTTCTCTCTCTCACAGTACCCAGACCAAAGTGTGCAACATCACAAAGCAGATACGGCTGCTGCTGGGACAAGAAGACAGAAGCAAAGTCTTACGCAGGCGAGGGATGCCCAGGTGAGAGGATAAATCTACTTTATTTATTTTTCCGGCTTGATTGTTGTTCGCTTGTTTGCCTCTTCATAAGTCGGCCCACGTTCTGGGTCGAGTTCAGAGATTCCATATTTTCTGGTGAAATTCTTACGTGAGCCATCAGAAAAATAAACAAACAAACTACTCTGTCGTGGTTGGCTTGTTCTGTATGCATTTTCTCTTCTTTTGATCCAAAGTTCCCACTAGAACTTAGATAAGTTCCAACCAGAAAGCGAGTTAACTATAAACTGGGTTTCCGCCCTACCCTCTTCATGGATCCGTTCGCCTCCGATCACCCTCCGAGCCTCCCAAGGGAAGCGTGGGCCCATTTCCTGAACAGTGTCGAAGTTTAAAGTTTCACAATATTTTCCCCGTGAAGTTCACCAGTAAGCCTCAATATAGCGTACTCGACCCAGTTCTCTTGGTTAACGTCAAGACATAACGCACGAGAATCACTGTCAGAGGGTCTTTTTTAAAGTCAAGCAAGGCAAAACTAGTGTTTAAAAGTTCTATGAATATAAGCTAATAGATGCAGGTTTAGGTCACTATATTTTGAAAGATAGATTGAACTTCTTCCACGACGGATCAAATGGTTATGTACAGTTAAGTCTAACGACAGTTTTTGTTACTAGAATGTAAAGACAGATACCCGAACTACTGCAGACAACGCGTCAAACGATTCTCCAAAGAAAAAGCCTGCAATGAACGAGGAAACGAAATGTGCCCTAAAAGCTGTGGAGTGTGCAGTAAGTCAACATAAATTTATACTCACCATTATCATTTTCATTCTAATTATCATTATCGTTATCAATATCGCTATCGTTATCGTTATAATTTTGGTTATCACATTGTTGTAATCATTACCTAACCATTATCGTTTTTATTATCATTACTAACGTCACCGCCTCCCGGTTTACCGCCTCCCGGTTAGCTCAATGGATAGAGCGCTGGACTATTGTGCGGGAGGTCGAGGGTTCGAGCCCCGGCCGGACCAACACTCGGGGTCTTAAAATAATTCAGAAGAATATGCTACCTTTCTATAACATCAAGAAATAATTAGATATTCTAGTCTTCTCGGATAGGGACGAATAAATGGAGGTCCCGTCTCCTGCAGGGTTAGGGGCAGGAGACGCTAATTTCCCACGCACGAGATTACTGTGTGATGGATGTCCTCCCCTGGGGTGGGATGAGTGGGTAACAGGACCCCCGTTGATACCAGTGTTTACTACACTGAAGGGGCTATCCTGCATAAATATAGATGTCTACTACTTCTACACCGCTGTCCACTTCTAACATGTTACTCTTCTGACTTGAATTTTAGAGATCAAGGCTGCTGCTCAAGCGCTGCCTGAATGTCTAAATTCCCTTTATGGTTGCTGCTGGGATCATACCGCTGCCCTGGGACCTGGAGGAGAGGGATGTAGAGGTGAGTATAGATTATGTATCTCAGTCAAGTCCTTGTGGGACCCATGCCGGGGCATTAGTCCTTGCGCGCTATTTCACGTCATTTTTAGGCCTACATCAACATTAGCACCTCAGTACTTGACACATTTGTAACCATTGCTTTGTATTTCTTCTGCTTCAGTTTGTGCGAACCTTTATACCAGACTTTGCAGTTTGTGGAATAAATACTGCCAGCCACAAGCCTACAAGTTTGTTAAGGAAAGCGTGATTGATAGGTACAGATACAGCTGTCCCGTCACCTGCGGAAAATGCAAAATGGGACAGAAGAAGCTGGATATTTCTTCCCTACGTGAGTGGAACACTTTTCACGCAAAACTATGTTTAATCTACTTTTCTCCTTCAGGAAATTAAGCGTTAAAATGACTGAAATCAAACTAAATTTCAATATTATTGAATTTTTTCAACTGAAATAGATAGTTTAGCAACTGTTGTTTGATGAATAAAATTTAGCACTTAAATATCATAAAATTTAAAGTTCTAATTCACAGAATAATAGCAAGCCTGCGACTAAGACAAGGACATTTCAGGCCACATTACAGAAAAGTTTACGAATATCATTCAGCGTCCTGCCTGAAACCTTATAGGAAACTTAAGTCGATTGCTAATAGACTCTTTTTGTTTGTAGGAAGACTTTGACAGACCTGAACGAAGTATGCCCTCTATGAATGGGAAGAAAAGATGAAGAATCCATGGATGAGAGGCTATCAAAATGAAGAAATTACTTATAACAATTCGAAATGAAAATCACTTATCATGCAGTAAATATATCAAACATCGAAATTTGCATTGTAAGCAGAAGAAACCTGTACAGTTTTAGAAAAAGAGAGTGTTATTTAATAATTATTTATGAAACGTTTTCTTACTGAAAATTAAAGTAAGTTGCCTCGACTGCATTGTTGTAATGTTGTGATACAAAGATGGGAGACCCCTGATCAGACAACTGATCGTACCTTTGAGAGAAAATGATGTTTAGACCGAACGGAGGTCACCGTCTCACGCCGATTACAACATCGGAAATACTCGTAAACACTAAGTGTAACGATGGACGATTCACTTGACCTTTTTTTTGCCCTCTCCGAAATCAAACATACCAACTGAAAAAAAAAACAAAAAAAAAAAACATCAGAAAACAGAGGAACTATTCTGAAAAGTTCGAACCTTGTTCCATTCTTCAAACGATTAGCTTTCACAATTTTCAATTGAGCATCCAATTAATCATGCCACAGTTGGTTTGGAAAACTAGCGCCACCTTTTCGTTCTCTGGATGAAAAATAAATCCATTTGCCATTTAGTCTCTCACACTTCCCCTCGGTTACAAGCATTTGTTTTGAATTCTCTCTGGTTCTCTGAACTGTGCGCCTTTTGGCTGATGGTCAATGAGATTTCTTTGATGCTCATTTTACACAAGTGGGTCAGTCTGTCAGTCCAAAAGTACAGCGAAATTATATATATATGTATATTTATAACCCACCCGTTAATTTTGGCGCGATTTTATTGGTTACTCTACGTCACGTGGTGCAAAATCACAGGACAGTTATTACGCAATAACCTCCGTCCGCGTCGATATTTGTCCTCCAATTTTTTCCTTAAAAAGGAAACATAGTCAACACAAGAGTTTCAACTTTTCCGTTCTCCTATTTACATGGAAGGAAACCAAACTCGTGTTTTTTTTGCTTGCGTCAATCACGCGCGTTCGCCATCGGATCACTACTGGCTTTTTTTACTGTGTTTACGCGCAGTTTAATTGGGATGTGAAAATTAATGGGAGGGTTATGAAATAAATAAACCCGTTCTGGCTTGCTGGTATGTCGGCTGATAATATCCTTGGCTGAGAGATTGTCCTCAAAATTTCATATTTGCATTTGAAGCTTCGCTTCTCGGCCAAATATTCAATTTTCGGACAATCTCTCAGCCGCGGACATTATCAGCCGACACACCAGCCGCCCGAAGGGGTTTATTTACTAAATAACAAATCTATTATTCAGGACTAACATGCTCAAGTTGGGCTAAGTAAGTGTTTGACCATTTTAATCTGTCATTTTAACACCGTTCATAAATACATTAAATACTAGCGCGTTAAACAAATAATAACGACAATGACAGTTATAAACTTGTTCATAAATAATAACAATAATAACGTATATAATAAATATAATGACATTAAAATGTACAACCTTTGATAGCTAAAAGTATGCTAATAAATTTACAAAATTATTGAAACAAGCTGGCATCTCCTTTCATTGCTTCCAATCCTCCCTTTTAGCTCATCACCAATGACGTCCTAGACGCCTCATATAAATGCATAATTTCAGTGTCTCCCTGTTAAAAAAAAAATTAATTTTTGAAAAACTTGCACGGGAAAAAATGTAAATTAATGCACGTTCTTCAAAATAGTTATATCATATAAGACAGGCATGAACATGCAGTGGTACATTTGGAAATAGCTTTGGATCTGTGCTTGGAGAAGGTGTACGATCGGAGAGAAAGTAAAAGCCAAGAAATAAATTAAACATTTGTAATTTTTCCGTAAGTTGTAGCCTTAGCAAAGTTTACAAAAGCTCAAATAAGAAGCTAAAACTATGAAAAGCTTCCCTTCAAAGACATCATGACACCAAAGCATAGCACCAAGTTTATACTCACTGTAAATGGAGAGATCCAACATTTTCTCTCCTATCCTGCACTTTCCACATGTCATGGGGCATGTTTCTCTGTACTTATCGATGACATTTTTATAAACATATTTGTAAGCTTCGTCCTTGCAGTAATGACTCCATAATGTACAAAGCCTTTTAAAACCATGGCGGTCTCTGCAAGCTGCATAGGAGAACGTATATAACATGTTGATACTACTGTGGCTAATATATTCTATTTTCCTTAGTTTTCTTTTTCCTCTTTTTTTCTCGATAAAAAAGGTTAGGGAACGCAGTAACTGAGCTGGGTTTTTAAGAGATATTTTGATCCGAAAGCGGGTAAACAGTTTTGTTAAGGGCTAGAAGTAAGAAAAAAAATGTATATATATATATATACAAATGTGAAAGAAGGAAATTATTACTAGTAATTTACTCGAGTTTCACGCTCAAGGCGATCATCAGATGATGATGATCCCCTAGAGCGTGAAACTCGAGGAACTAGTATAATTTCCTTCTTTCACATTTGTATTTTGTATTCTTGTTTATTCGTTTATATATATATATATATATATATATATATATATATCAGGCGTGCATAAGGGTGGAGAATTAAGATTAGCCGTGTATTCCCTCTCTTTGAGCAAATGAATGTGGTGGCATTTCTTCAAGGCTCATCATTCTTACTCACCAACGCATCCTTCGCCTAAAGGTCCTTGGGCAGCGGTAAGATCCCAGCAACAACCATATTGGGAATAAAGACATTGAGGTAGCACTTGAGCCGCTGCGGCCTTGTTTTCTACAAAACAGATAAAAATTCCAAGTCAGCAATACGATTTTTTCTATGCTAAATGTGCATATTCGCATGATCACAAAGATGTACATCTAAAAGAGCTGATAGCCGCGCAGAAAACCAAGTGGAATTTCCTGGTTTATCTTGGGTTTACTACCATGTACCAGGCTCAGTTATATTGCGAGATCATTGCATTTGCAAACGAGGACATAGTGGTGATGGGTACATGATTTTTTTTTTTTTCGATTGTATCTGCATCACTCAGAATTGAAAAACAACCCTCAAGTCAGTTTCATTTTAGAACAGAATGGATTCCAATTCAGACATGACTCATTCGCGTCAGTAAAGATAATCAAACGACCACCAAGTGGGAAGCCGATTCTTTTAAGGACGAGTACTATTTCAGACAATTGGCCCACACAGAGTTCTGTTACCATTTTTTGAGAAAAAAAGCACCTTCGGTTAACGTATTCATACCAAAAAAGAAAAATAACAGTTGGCTTTTTCCCACGAGGATATGAATCTAACAGTTGGCGTAAATGATGCCTATTGCCCCATTTCACAGGCATGGCGTGTTAACTGTTTTATTAGTTCTGAAATCACATTTCTGATAACCAATGATATCGAGAATTTCTCATGATTCAGTTTCAAAAAGAGTCAAACATAAAGACCTCATCTTATACTTTTTAGCTTACCAATAAGGTTTTGCTTTACTTACCGCAAACGCCACAACTTTTGGGGCACATCTTAGTGCCACGCTCATTACAAGCGCTTTTTCTTGGGTGTTTAGCAACTCTCTCTCTGCAGTAGCTTGGAAACTGATCCCTACATTCTGTTCGAAGAATAAAAAGGAGGAATTTAATTCATGCAGCAATGTGGTGATCTCTTATCAGGAATATCGTTGTCAGTTACTTAAACATGTGTTTTCTCAAATCTTACCAAAAGTCGTCACCAACAGTTTGCAAGCCGTAACTTGCATTACACCCTCTCTAACCACAAAAACGGAAATTGACCACGTAACCACAAAAAAAAAAGGGTGTGTAATTCTCTATGTGAATATCTCACAAATTGCCACGGTTTAAAAATGAAAGATACGAGAGCGCATTGCTCAGCAGTAATATCATCTAAATTGAAAAAACAAAAAAAATAAAAAAAAAAATGACAGAAATGTTCCTACCAGGGCAACCATCGCCAGCATATGATTTTGCTTCTGTTTTTTTGTCCCAACAACAGCCGTATCTGCTGGCCTTGGTTGCACATTTTGGTGGGCGTACTATTCAGAAAGAGAGCAAAGTAAACACATATTTCAGTTAAATTCAATGTGCCGGTAGCCACATGATGAGTCGCGTTTTTGGACAAACTTAGCAAGGAATAAACAAAGCTAATACTATTCGACATCTGAAACTATTGACTACCCTTTTATTGTACTCTTTTGCGCTATGAAATCCCATGTCCAATTTGCTCTGATTTATGCTTTTGGCTTCAATCTTTGGCTGCTTGAAGTTAGCTTTTTTTTTACCCACCACTATACTGTAAACGAAAACGGCTCAGTTTCTCCTAGCCTTCAGAAAAGTAAAATTACTTAAACGAATTGATATCTTACCGCAAAATTTACAAGTGAACGCGCAACCATCCTTCATCTCCGCCCACTCGCAGGAGTCACGATATGTTTGGACAAAGTGTTGACAAATTGGGGTTGTTATTCTGTCTCGACATGCTGCGGGAGAAATAGTCATGATGAATCGTCCGTATTGATTTTATGTTCAAATCATGAGACAAGCGAGGTCAGGTCATTTCCTATAGAAATATGTGTAAAGAGAAGCAGGCTTTTCCACTCTGAAGAGCGATCTTCTTCAACTCTGGCTGTTTTATCAGTCATCTTTAGATCCTTTATCAACGGCAAAATGGTACCAAACTACGGTGCAACACGCATTCAAGAGTAACACTATTTATCGAGTTATTTTCTTAATCATTTTAGTGATTTAGCAGTTTCATTTTACGCTGTTTGACATTGTACCGAAACAATTTCTTTGGCACAAAATGTTTTTATCATTGTCACATATTTCATTAGTTAAGCTTTTCCACTCAGGTTAACAAAAGGATTTTTTTTTTCCCCACTGCCAGTCAAAACATCGGTTGCATGGTTCAAATTTTTTCCGTAACTACAACAATTTTTTCAGTCAGTCAATGCAAAGTCAACGAAATAGATAACTAAATACATGTATACGGTATAACTTACTTGTCGCCGTTGAGGACACCGTAAATGAGAGCATGGCAAAAACAACATTTACCAAAGGTGTATTCATCTCAAAGCTTCGGTACTGTACCACCGCGAATAGTCTCAAATATCTTTCAAGTTTAAGTGACTTTGGTCTTCGTCGAACTGAGCTGAACTGATTTCACAAATAGGCGACGCTCTTATATTTACGGAAAGGCTGACATT